CCCCCCACTATACCTAATCACAAGTCATCCTGGTTGAAAGGGGAGCATATCTCCCTTCATCACTCCCTACCGCTGCCTTTCAGAATGGCGCATATGATTATAGTGGCAAGTACTTCTCAGTATGAAAACCAAATCTGCTTAAAGAAGGAAAGAAGAAAGTCTTTCAGTACCTAGATTTTGTCAGATGCTTTGTCAACTTGTAGACCATCCTTTCATTACTGACTGGAAAGCAGGTCTTCCTCCTACATTTGGAAGACTTTGCAGTTGAAAGAAGGTTGCTTCCTCCTGTTGATTATGTGAACTGGGACGTGTTTCTGTGCACCACAGCGATATGTAGAATTTCTTTTGTAATCATGTACTTGGCTTTGTTCTCTGTTCACTCCAGTGAAATTTAGGAAGTGTACCATATCGCACTGAAAAGCAAAGTGATCATTTTAAATATCTTTCCAAGAGCTCCAGAAGTAATCATTGAACTACATTTCTGCTGCTATTATTGAAAAACAATTCAAGTCTTTTTACCAAAGTAACTGATTATTCTGAACACAGAGTAAGAGAATAAGGAGTGTTTTTCATCTGAATAAGTTTTAGTTTTGGCTTTCAGAGCTTTCTCATTTGTTATGATTCTTTTCAACTGAAAATGAAATCTAGAGATGAGTAGATTTTTCTTTTGTTGGAGAGGAGAGAGTATTTGAAATTAGGTGAGGATTCTTTTGTTGTTGTTGCTTTCTTTATTTCATTTTGTTTTTTCCCTCTAGCTAGTTAAGAAAGTGTGTGTGTGTGTGTGTGTGTGTGTGTGTGTGTTCATAGCTGTGTATTCACTTCCATTCTATAATACATAAATTTTGATTAACTGTTGTTGTTTTTTAAAAGATTTTTTTGGGGGGAATTGCAGAAGGAGAACAGTGTTGGGGAATTGGGGAAGGGGAACAGCCAAGTTGTTGTCCTTCAATCTTAGTTGTGCAGGGCGCAGCTAGCTCAGCTCCAAGTCCAGTCACCATCCAGATGCCCGTCAGCAGCTTGCAGCCACTCAGCTCAAGCTACTGTGTTCAATCTTAGTTGCGGGTGAGCATAGCCCACCACCCCATGCCGTGGTCGAACCAGCAACCTTGTTGTTAGGGGCACGTGTTCTCACCAGCTGAGCCATCCTGCCACCTGTTGGCAGCTCAGTGGCAGCTCAGCTCGGGCCCAGCTCACTGGCCCATGTGGGAATCGAACCCATGCTTTTACCAACTGAGCCACTTGGCTGGCCTCCTTGATTAACTTTTGAATGAATATTATATATGTGGAGCATGGCAGCTATTTATTAATTTTATCTATCATCACAAGCTAAATTATATTTGAATGATAATATCGATGGAGAGTTAAAAAGTAAAACAGTCTTAAAATGTACTCTTGGAAAGGCCAAAATTGGCTTCTGCCTCTGGGGCAAATTATGATTGCTGTTCTCTGCAGAACTACATTAATAGGAGGAGTTATATTTTGTATTAAATAAATAAATGAATTTGTTATTTTGTGATGTTTTCCTCATTGTAAATGAAATAACTTTCTTTTTCACAAGGAAATATAACAAATAAAGGGCTTTTTATAGGTAATTGAACTTAATCCTCACAACAGTTAGTGATGTAGATGGGCAGCTAATATTATTCCTGTTTTAAATACTAAAAAGCTTGGACTCTGAGATGATAAGCCATTTGCCCAAGATAAGATTCTGAGCCAAGATTTGAATCCATACATTCTGACTCTAAATCCCTTGCTTCCTGTTTGAAGGAAATGAAATTTCAGGAGTCAGTTTGGCTTGGTTTTAGTCAATGGCTAGATCATTTATTTTGATGGCATTCATCAGATCCTACTTGGTGGGTGTGTTATATATGTAAATATGATTAAGTATGAACTGGAAATAATATTACACACTTCTGTTCTAAAGTTCCGAGTTCTAAATTTATAGAAAGTCATGCTTTCTGTTTAGGGAAATAAAAATATATTTTGGAATAACTGACGGATATGCCAGAAGTATAGGTGTGGCGCTTATGGGCTCTTATAAGGTCTTTGATATTAGTTTTTCTATATTTTAGTTTCCTTTTTGTTTTCATCCCACAGCTTCTTGATCCCCCTGAATGTGGCAATGGCTTCATTGAAACTGGAGAAGAGTGTGACTGTGGAACCCCCGCAGTAAGTCTCTGGGTGTTTTGATGATTTTTTTTAAGGTTATTCAGCGTCATTCCAGGTCTACACACAGAACTATGGAGCAAGTGTTATGCCTGGAAATGTTATAAGCTTTGTGGAAGAAAGATTATTATTGGGAGGTAGTACATTTATTTTAGAAAATATTCTGGTACTTTCAGGAAAATCATCATTTTCTGATGTTTTGCCAATGTTTATCTTCCTTAGGAATGCATTCTCGAAGGAGCGGAGTGTTGTAAGAAATGCACCTTGACCCAAGACTCTCAGTGCAGTGATGGTCTTTGTTGTAAAAAGTGCAAGGTAAATAAATGCTGATTCATAACCAATGGACAGAAAAGAGGCCATATCTGATTAAATTGTTAAGGCTAGGTTAATATACTCTGATAACAATAGTGTATCTAACACATGTTAAATGCCAGGGGCTTTACAGGAGCCTCACAAAATCTTGTGAGGTGCAGTAATTATTTTTATTCCCATCTAACAGATGAGAACGCTGAGGCTTGTAGTGATGAAGCAGTTTTCCCAGGGTCCTACACTCCGTGAGTCAGGCAGCTAGGGCCTGAACCCTTCTCACTCCTGGAGCTTGTCCTCTTGCTGCTGCCTCCCTGAAGAGCATGCACATGAAATGTGTTTGATCTTTGAATTATGTTCTTCCTTCCTTGTAAAGCCAAGCAGATATTCAGTAGGCTTTTCTTCGCTTGCTGTGCAGCCTGGTGTAGCTCTTGCATAGCTGTTGAGGGAGCAAAAGGAATACTTGTAGACATGACCGCACCTTAATGTGTTGTGTATGAGAGTTTAAAATGCATCTTTTTAAAAAATGGTTTTTTTTCCTAGTTTTATTGAGACATAATTGACATACATTATGACACAAAAGATGTATAAGTTTAAGGTGTGCAACAGCGTAATGACTAGATTCACATATATTGTGAAATGATTACCACTATAAGTTTAGCTACTATACATTATCTCATAAAGACACCAAGAAAAAGAAAAGTAATGTTGTTTTTGTGATGAGAACTCTTGGGCTCTACATCCTTAATAATGTTCAAAAATTCCATACAGCAGTGTTAACTGTAGTCATTGAGTTTTACCTTATATCCCAGCACTTATTTACCTTATAGCTGGAAGTGTATACCTTTTGACCACCTTCATCCAATTCATCCAATAATTTCTTAGGGCATCAAAAATGTTAATGTACAGTTAGATACAAATATACATATAGAATGGTAATTTTGGTTTTATAAGAATTATTCCATCTATAAATCCCAAGACACTGTGGGCAATAAATTCTAAATAAATTAAACTGCTGCCAAATGTTTATTTGGATGCTTTTCTTTTTAAGAAAATTCATCTTTAAGCACATTATCTGTTTTTATCCTCCCAATAGCATCCTCATACCTGTCTCCAGATATTTAAGTCTTTCCTTCAAGACTGAGAGTTATCTGAGGCTTTCCTTTTTCAAAGAAATCTATTTCTTTTTTCTCTTCTGATATAAAGTCTGTCACAATAGTCTATATTATTTCTGAGGTTTAATATCTGCCTCTTTTAGTCTGTACATTTTATGGAGGCAGAGCCTGGGACTTATACAGTAATTGGTACAGGTTCTTAGTAAATGTTGGTTTGAGCAAGTGAATAAATCTGTGCAGCAGCCTCTTACTGATTATTTGCTGATTAAATAACTTTAGCCTAATGAGTGAAGACAGAGTAGACTATGAACCTATCATATTATGTATCTACTGAGTGCCAGAGATAGTGGTAAGCACTTTTCATTTATATCGTCTTACGTCTGGGTCTCTCTTCGCTGGCACTGTTGACATTTTTGGCCGGATAATTCTTTGTCACGGGGGTGTGTCTTGTTTATTGTAGAATATTTAGCAGCTTCCCAGACTTCTACCAGATGCAAGCACCACCCCGCCTAGTCGTGACAACCAAAAATGTCTTCAGATATTGCCAAATGTCCCCTTGGGAGCAAAATCACTCCTGGTTGAGACTGGTACCTTAGATGATGCTCCCAACTACACTTTTGGGATAGGTATTATTATCCAGATTTTTCCACTTGAGCAGTCCCAGCCTCAAGGAAAGTGAACTAGCTTGCAGAGGCTCATTCAGCCAGTACGGAATAAATGTTCACTTACATCCCAGATCTGCCGGCAGCGACTTCTGCTGCTTCCACTTTACCGCTGTGTTTCAGGCAGGTTTTTAAGACAAGAAAGGCCCTAACAGAGATCTCTGAAAGCATTCTTTAAAAAAAGAAGATTAAACTGAAGGTGAAACAGACTTATTTTCATTTTGGCTGCCCCAACTGTGTAGTCTGTCAGCTTTTCCAACTGCCATAACAAGGGATCCCCAATCTTTATTTTAGTTTTAAGTCTGCCTGTCCCTAAAATGCATTTGATGATGCCATTTTTCTTTGATTTATACAAATCTGGCTCTTTGTGATGTTATTTCAAGGAACAAGTGAAAATAATAAAATTAAAATACATACAATAAATTGGCATAATTAACCCTCCCACAAGGTAAGTTACAGCTGTACCAGTCAAATAAGATCTTTTTTGCCCCTTTCTCTGCCCCACACCCCCACTCTCGCCCCTACCCTGGGTTCCTGGAGGAGCCAGAGGCAAGATAATAGGAGAGGGGAAACAGAAGAACAAGATGAGAAACTGTGTATCTCTAGTTTTTCTGCATGTGTTTATAATAACGCATCTATACCAGAGATGACAAACGTTTCCTTTAAAGGACTAGAGAGTAAATGGTGTGGGTTTTGTGGGTCATAGGTCTGTGTCAGTGACTCAACTCTGCCTTTGAAAGCAGCCATCAGAAATAACAGAAACGAATGGGCATGGCTGTGTTCCAAAAAAACCGTATAGGAACAGGCAGCCAACCAAAGTTTTGCCATTAAGCATTAATTTGTGGACCTCTGCTGTAAAACATTGCTTATTCACGTGTTTATTATATTTTCTGCTCTCATTAGTATGTAAGTTCCGAGAGGGCAGGGGTTTGGGTTGATTTATTTACTGCTGTACCTCCATCCTTAGAGCAAGCCCTCCTTCACTGTGCTCCCTCTCAAAAGCACCTGGCAGTTCTTGGAACATTTACACTCTTAAATCTGCTCATATTTCTACCTCAGATGTTCTAAAATTGTGGTTTGCCCCAATCCCAAAGAGGAAGAGAAACAGAGTATATGGAATGAAATGATCTTGCTTATTTCCATATGTTTATAGCCTGTTTATCCCCACTAAAATGTAAGCTCCTGGCGAGCAGGATTCTTGATTCTTGTTTTTTGTTCCCTATTGAGCTTCTGGTGGCTAGAAAGTGCCTGGCACGTTTTAAGTGGCTAGTATATACTTGAATGAATGAATGAATGAATGAATGAATGAACACAGGTTTTGTTCAGATCTTCTAAAAAGCACTGGTTGAAGTGCTGATTGGAGGTGGCAGTGTGCTGTTCATGTTCTAGGAACAACAGCACACTCACCTGCCGGGAGGATTGTAAACAAGGGAGAGAAAGTGAAATTTGCAGGAGTTGGAGTTTTGTCCCGAGTAATGTGTATGTTTGTGTAAGCACAGATAAAAACATAGAAGGATCTACCCCCAAATATCAACATTTTGAAGAGGGAAAGAGAATGGGATTGAAAGGAGAGGGGAAGGATGAAAACTTTATGTGTCTCTGTTTTATTATAATGAATACTTTTGCAATTTATAAATCCAATGAGCTTAAAATTTATTTGTACAACTCTCACACATACAAGAAATATTTAAAGTGGTTGAAAACAGACCAGAAAAAAACCAAAACCTGCCATACACAGGTACAAATCATAGAAACATTAGAAAAGAATAAAAGACCAAGCTATAGATCTGTGTAAAAATGAGGCAGGAAAGAAGAAAGGAAGAGAAAGCATGGAAAATATAACTTTTGCAATTCAGCCCAAAATGTAACTTTCAAATTCTTGGCAGATGAGGCAAAAAAGCGTACTATGATAAAGGAGCCAATAAGAATGAAGGGTAAACTGTAAATCCAAAAGCTATTTGGAAGGAAGAATTACTAGAACTCAGACTGACTCATCCCTCTGGTGGAGAATGTATCATTAAGCTAAAGATATTTTAGCAAGATTTTGGAAGACTTATGTGCGATGCCTATCCAAATTACTTCATACACAAGTAACTCCCTCTGAAAACTATTAAATTAACATTTCATTCAGTAACTGTGGTTTTCACAGACTACCATCTTAAAATAGTTTAAGATATTCCTATCCAAACACTACTCATTTTGCTGTTTTCAAAGATGATACTGTGAGAATTTTTTCCTTCAACAGTTTTACACATTGATTTTTGTTCACTTTAGTTTCAGCCCATGGGGACTGTGTGCCGAGAAGCAGTAAATGATTGTGATATTCATGAAACATGCTCAGGAAATTCGAGCCAGGTAATTCACAGAGCAGCTACTCTAAACCGGATGGGGAAAAAGGAGTGTCTTTAGTGCCCTGACTCCCAGATGACATGGAAATGGACAAGATGCTCATCTCTCTCTTTCACATCAACTGTCCCTCTCTCTGTTAATTTATTTTTCAGGAATTTAAGTTTCAGTAATCAAAGCTTGAGTAGATGTTCAGCATAATTTTGTTGAGCGAAGCTAAGACTGCATGCATGCCTTAACTGTTTTGTTTTTGTTGTAAGTAGGGGGTAAAACTCATTTGCTTTTTGTCTTCTTAGTGAAGGAGGAAACAGAACGACTCGTCAGCTGGTGAAAACGAGTCAGCCCAGGCAGAGACCCTCAGAGAACTGGGTTCTGGGAAGCAGCCTTTGTCTCTTTCTCGACTCTTACTTTTCTGAGATCGCTTTCATCACCTTAGCCATTAACAGCTTCTCCTGAGTTTAATGTCATTTTGGTTGTAAATAGAGAAGATAGGGAAGTTGATAAACTTTGGCAAGGGTTCCCAGATTTCATATGGTCAGTGTACGTACAAGCAGGCAGTCCTCACTTTGCGTGGTGGTGCAGGGTCATGAAAACCAGCATGGACGTTGAAACCGTGTAAAGTTGTCTAATAATCAATGGGAAAAAACTACAGTTGTTCTGTGATCTTTATAGAAGGTTGTCAAACTATTAAAAACTCTCTTACTTTAAGTGAGTAGGGAAATGAAAAAACAAACTCATATTTATTTAGCACAGTAAATTAAAACAGAAACATTGAAGAATTAAAGTATTTTATTTCTTTTAAAAAAACTTTTCAGGAGTAGTTGAAACTGTGCGGGCCACCTTCTTGTTTCAAACCTTATGATTCCTAATGAGCATCTTGGCCGTGTGTTGCTGAATTGTTATACTCATTTCTCAGTTTGGATCAGCTGTCAGTGTTTTATCCTTTTTGCTTTCAATGCCATGTACTATCTCCAAGAGATCTGAAGATGTGAATGTGAAGTTTTTTGTGGAATAGCAGTATAAACATTCCCATTGTCAGCCATTTTTCTCTGTAACTCCATTCACATTCAATGAGAATTTCCCTTCAAATGTCATCACTTTCCTTTTTCCCTCCCTCCCTCCATCCCTCTCTTTTTCCTTCTTTTTCTTTCTTTCTTTCTTTCTTTCTTTCTTTCTTTCTTTCTTTCTTTCTTTCTTTCTTTCTTTCTTTCT